AAATTTTCCAAACAATGAAGAAGTTTGCAAAAATCTTATGCCCCAAGCAGTTTCTGGAGAGCCACAGTCCAAGAATGATGTTTTTACAATAACTGTTGACAAAAGTGTTTACAAAGCAAGAGATGTCTTAAAAAGTTAGTTCATGGTTTTAATATTTATCCACATTTTCATGATATGTAGTCAATGCAGTTTATTTATATATTTCAATATTTTGACTGTCTTGCGAATATTTGCTATCTATATCTATATACAGGACCACTTGTCAGTCGATTTCCTGACTCCTGTTTACCAAAAAATACCTGCTTGGGACTTCTTGTGTCTGGCATACGTATAACATGCTTTAGTCAACGAAACTGAGCTTGAAGCAAAAGCGATTCTATATCCATTGTACCGCACTTTGCCAGAACCATTGTGTTTGGAACTTTGTCTTCCCACCTGATACCAGCAATCATACGCAGACACCTTATATGGAAAAATAAAAAAAAATTATCAAAAATTCATTTATTTAAATCCGAAACACAAAATGAAAATAAAAGAAAGGATTTGAGATTGTGAGGATTTACGGAGATCCCATAAGAAAATCAAAACTTGTACAGACCACCGTGATACGATATGCAATTTAAAAACAAAATCACGTTTGAATACTTACACTGATGTACTAAAAGTAATAGATATATGGATCTTCGATTTTCTACATATATAAACACATAAGTATGCATGAATATATATACTGATGTAATAAAAGCAATAGATATATAAATGTTCATCTTAGTACATATATAAACACATAAGCACATATGAATACATATACTGAAGTAATCAAAATAATAGATATATAAATGTTCAGCTCTGTACATATAAAACACAAGCATTATTTTAGCATATATGAATAACTGCACGTGCACAATCATCAGCAAATAACAGGTTTGGTACAATAGAGATGTCTTGGATTTCTCCTGCAATCGTCTGATATTAAAGACATCCCCATCCATATGATATCAAATTGGTATCCCCTCAATGCCGTTACAAAAAGCAACTCGGAGCATCAATGAACAGTAGATGTTGAACAGCAATGGAGCTATAGCACATCCTTTTGCAATATCAATATCCTGAGACCGTTCACAATTTTCAATCGTACTTGCTTTCATACCTTTATGGAAGGAACAAACAATTGTAACAAAAGCGGGGGGTATTTCTGTAGACCTTGACGTACTGTTCCTAACGTGCCAATTATTATCGGTATTACATGCGTTTTTGTGTTCCATGAGTATTATTAAAGTGTCTATTGAAAAGTTAGCAGCTTGTACATGTACATAGTTAGTTGGGAGGCAGGTAATTGGGGTTTTTTGAATCCTTGCTTTTTGGAAGTAGATAACTTACACCGCAAGTGAGCCATTTTAGTAGGCTAACTGGATCTCTGGTTACTCCTGTAAAAGTTCTTACAAAATCATTGTACATGAGAGTTTTTGAGCCAAAAGTTTTGTACCTTGTCGGGACCAGGCGCCTTACAATTTGCAAGTTTTTTTTAGAAACTCTTTTTATTTACTTTACTGAGAAATCATTCCAATTTTGGGGCTAGATATGGGAGTAATTACGGCTTCCCGTTTGATCCAACATGCTTCAATATAGTGACATCTATCATCTTCCAGAATGTTTTTCTAAAACATTTCTATATCGGTTTTATTGGGTGGTTCTATGGTAGGTTTTGTTTGTCATTTAGTCCTCAATATAGCATTTTGGCGTTTTCTTTAAACAATTTGTTTTGGTGAAATTGATTACATCGTTCAGTGAATCTCTTCAGTCTTCCTCAAGAGAAAGAAAAATCTCTTTAGCTTGAAGATTCATTTTGATGGCTTTTGTCATTTCTGTTCAATTGCTGATACCATATCGTTTTTTGATGTTATTAGCTTTACAATGCAAGGTTTTGTTTTCGACCCTTTTGTTGAGCTCTATCAAAATTGATATTTCTATAAGGAGTTGATCAATTTTATTTCTTATGCGGATCTTCCATTTTGTTTCTTTACTGAGCGAAGATTTTCATGGTTGTTTTCCACCAATTTCGTTAACAACTACTGACGCAGCAGCATATATCAATTGGTTCATTTCTGTTAGATTTAATCATTTATTTTTGCAGATGCTAGTAAGGGCAACATTGACATTTCAGAGTTATTCATTTGACTCTTTTAACGGTTTAAACTTGTTTAACCATTTCCGTTGTTCAATGTCAATGTTCTTCGTGTCAAGTATTTTTAATCTAATTTTTTTACATATTTCGTCTTCAAGAACATCAGTTTGTTCAATTTGTATTTGTTGAGCGAAGTTTCAGTGAGGTCAAATCAGGTTCTGGCTTCGTTGAAATGTGAGCTATGTTTTTAACAATATTTCTTTGCGTATATGCTAGACTGTTTGCTGTAACGTTTGGTTGATTTGTTGAGTTACGTTTCCTCCAAACAGCAAAAGTTCTTTCCGTTTTGATCATTTTTATTGATTGTTTGCGTAAATGTTTGCCGGCATAACTCTCTGCGATAATGCCTGTCGTTTACTTTAGTTTGTGTTGGGCATGTTACTTGAGGATTCCTCAATTCTACAGCTTTGGTGCTGTGAAGATGTCGAGTGGCAGGAACTGCATCTAACTTTTCGATTCAAACTTGTTCGACGATAATTGGGGAAGGCGCTCCCTGTTGATCAATGTGACGAGCGATGTGGTGTGAGTTTCTTGACTTGTTTCCCATGTTTTTTGAATAACAGCTTTCGTCTTCATTGTATCTATTTGTAAAATTTATCTATTCTGCTCACCACAATTGGTTGGTTTCAAAAATTTGTCATTGCTAACTTTTACTTAACGTACAAAATTAGATTTCAACAATCAGAATCTTACTGCAAAATTATAGAATAAAAACCAAAATTATTGCCATTATTGTTAATACCATTGATATAACTATATGATTTAAATAATTTATATTATTTTTTTCCTTCCATGTTATTTTCAATCTTTCTTTCAATACTTTTTTTTTACGTCCTACCTCTGGGAACCGGGTCTCTGGACGCAAAACGAAGATTCATTGATTGATTGATTAAATTTTTCTTTTGTATATTTTGTTATGATGTTATTACTATGACGAAGGTAAATTTATGTATATGAAAAAACAATATTTTATGTATGTACTTAGTTGTAAGGTAAGTTTTTTTTAAATAAATCTAAATATATTAAAATAAATTTGTTAATTGAATTTCCGTTGAAATGTTGTTCTCCTAACATCTAATTATATTAATATTGAAAATCATTCTGACTAAATATGATTCCATTACTACGTTCAACAAATTTTAAACAATACTCAAACAATGCTCAAACAATACTAAATTGTATCTATATTTTGATAAAAAATGAATTTGTGTGTTTTTTTTTATACTTATTTGGATTACATAAAACATCAACCTAATTTTTATTTTGCAGTTTCTATTGATAGTTTTGAGCCAATTACGAACATTTTGTTGACAGCTCGTCTTGAGAACAAGAATATTAATCAAGGTTATTGATAACGTTTGTTTGTGTTGCTCGTTTTAATATTGTCCAACATTTTAAAAAGAATAATAGCTACATGACCTGACTTTAAAGTGTCGATTTTTATTCTTTTTTAAATTTACTATTATTGTGTTTATCATTAATAATAATTTCCATTGGTTATAATTCTAAAGATAATAATAATAATTATTATTATTATTGTCATTATTGTTGTTAATATTATTATTATTATTGTTATTAAAATTAATTTATCAATTAAATTTCATCGATAATTTTTTATTCTTACCTAACTAACATACAAATATTTTTTTGGCCAATCTAAAAATAATAATAATTTTATGGTGTTAAAACCATCTGTCCTGGTTATGACATTAAACTGACCCTCACTGCCTTGTGAGTGATGTTGGATCATCAAAGGCTAGGCCCACCGCTATTATAACTGTGGTTGCGTAAGGAAGGGCGTCCTGCGTAAAAATTAGCCAAATAAATTACTTATGATGACAGAAGTGACAATGGTTTCATCATAGGTAGCCAAACGGCAACCCCCGATCTCGGGGAAAATGTCGTCTAAACGTGTGTTGTTGTTGTTGTTGTTGTTAAAACCATCACAAGTATATTTGCTAGAGGTGCTAGTGTTGCTACGAACGCACCCAGTTCGAGAAGGAACCAGACTAGAACCTTCTGACAGCGAGATATTTAGTACGTTTGAGAAGCGTCGATAAGACGGGTATATAAAGACGTGCAGAGGATCAAATAGCGATTGATTGATATTGGAAGCGATATTTGATATTTTACTTCAAATATTAACTATAACTATAGCACTTCAACGAGTGTTACAGTATTTGCGATATACGTTAGTGAATTGTGATTTGGAAAGCGATAGTTTCTGAACGTTAATTGATTATTGATTTGTAAATAAATAAAATGTAAATTTAAAAGTTATATTGTCTTTATTTTCCATCTTGATTAAACGAACCCGACGTCAACCCTGGCAGTAATAGCATTGGTGTCGGAAGTCGGATCCTTGGTGGAAAATAAGTGAGCATCGTCGTTAAAACGGTTTGATTTTTTTTCTCGTCAAGTTATTTTTAAAAAAATAACGTGACGTGGCGAAAATATTTCAACTTACGCTGGTTCACTCAAAGAAGAGTTACAAAAACGAAATCTTTCCACCAGTGGAAACAGAGGAGCTTTGATTGCACGCCTAACAGAAGCCCTTATAAATGGAAATAAAAATCCAGATGAATTTTAGTTTGGTTATTGAATTTTGAATCAAACGCGGTTGTAAACGTTGGGTCAAACACCGTTCTGAGAGCGCTACTTTTAACGGTATTAGCAGAAATATAACAACAGTCAACTGATATAAAATCAGACAAGAGATAAAATTGATGCCAAAATTGAAAAACAGTCGGCCGCAATTGATGCAAAAGTAATACAACAGCTGAGAGAACAGTTCGATGTTAAGACTGAATAGCAAATGGTCGTAGTCACTGCTAAAATAGAAGACATCACATCAAAAATTGAACAGAAATTTTATCAAAAGGTTATCGAGCTTGATCAGAAGTTATCTTACAAAATGGATAAGGATAAACTTAAACAAGAACTGGAAGAAACTAAAAAACTATCGAAAACTTCTGTTCCCAGTATTAACAATGTCATTCTTAAAGTTGTAGTACGCAGGTTGATTATTCCAAAATCCGTCCAATGTTTTATAAACGTGTTAAGAGACGGAAGGCTAACCACACCATTCTGGAAGCTGTTCCATACATCCACCAATATGGAGTGATTTTCTAACAAGCAAAAAGTTCCAGTAAAAAAATTCAGATGGGAGTTGAAAATAAAGCATTTATCACAACTTTTATAATTTCTCTTGAGGAAATTATAAAAGTTGAAAATTTAGGAAACACTTTTTAAATGTTATGGCCTAGTGGTTAAAGACGCTTGGTCCTGTTTTGCAGCATGTGCAATGACTGGGTTCGAATACATGCTTTGTGTGTGATGCGTATTTATATATGTTGTTTGTGTGTTGTTGATTCCGCAGAACTTTGGATGAGTCTATATGATTTTTAACCATTTTTTTAAAGATCTTTTTATTAAAAAAATATTTTTAAAATTTTAAAATTTAAAAATGTTTACAATAATGTTAATTATAGGTAAGAGTTTTGGAAATTTTAAGTCTTCTGATATACAGACCAGCTCAATATGTGCTGAATCCTATGGAGTGAGTTTCGTTTTATAGTATTATTTTTAATTAATACTGGCAAATATTGTTTTAAGACAAAAACTACAATTTAAAATATTTAGTTTTCGTATATTTTAAATGTTTTGTTTGTGCGTTACATAGTTTCATGTCAGTTAAAAGTTCCCTGTTCCCTGTTTAATTCCTTTTTATTTGTTAAAAAATGAAGTTAATAAAAAGATAAGATTTTTTTTCAGAGTTCTGTAACAGCGACAAGTACACTTTCAGAACCTAAAACTAAACTATTGTTCGAATGGACATCACTGCCATTAACAAAAGGAAATATTGTTTTCAAGTTAGTCTAATAAATATTTTTTTTTATTAAATTATGTTATCATTCAAATTATTTACAAAAATTATCTGTGATATTCTGATCTAGAGATATAATTGAGTGATTACTTCTTGTTAAAATTATTCTGCTTTGTTTTTGAATTTATTCACACTATTGTTCATTGGTCAGAAAATTGCATCGATTATTATTTAAATTTCATCCTTTTATGTGTTTTTGTTTTATCTCAAATTTCTCGTTTGCATATTTCATTAATTTCAACATAATTTCATTGGTGGACCATTGTTTTTTTGTTTGCATATTTAATTAATTTCAACATTGGTTAAAATTGATGGGCCATTGTTTTAATATTTAACACTGCAATTAGCAACTAAAAATTAGTTTATCAACTAAACAGAAAATAATTTTTATTTCGTTTGTTCGTTCGTTTGTTCATTCATTCATTCTTTTATTCATTCATTTATTTATTTATTCATTTATTTATTAATGTGGCTTTGCGTTTACCAAAATTAAAAAAAAATTTTTGAGAAAGATAACCTAAGTATGCTAATATGCAATGTAAACTAGTTGCAGATTTCAAATGTTTTAAATTTATCAAGAAAATGCCTTTTGATTGAATAGAGAGGTTTCCGCATTCGTATTTTTACATCGCACAAGCGATTTTTACATCCATACTTTGAAGACTGTTAATCTTCAAAATCTGTAATCAATCAATCAATCAATCAATCAATCAATCAATCAATCTGTAAAATTAGTTTAAATTTGTTAACGAAAGCCTAAATGAAATTAAATGAATCAAAGAAAGTGATAATTGTAAACAAGTTAAGCATAATGTGAACCAAATTTTGTATTTTTTTAATTAAAAAAATTTTGTTTGGATCTTCTGTTATGCTATTTATGTTTCAGTAATAAATAATTTTTAAATAATTCAAATTTTTCAAAATTTCTTGCTGTCTTTGATATAGTGTGCATTTCATCTCTCATTTTTAAAGACCATAACAAATTATATTATTTGTATGGCTTGCTTAAATTTTAGGTTGTAAATTTTTTAAAAATTTATGGACAGAAATGCAAGAGGGAAGTTGATTTACTTTCTTAAATAAATGTTCATTATAATCTACAAATTTCTTGTTATTATAAATTATTTCCTCTGTTTATTTTTTATGACATCAACTTGATTGCACGCACAACACACATTTCATGGATTAAATTATACAATGTTGAAATCTTTTGAACTTTTCAATAATTTTCAGTCATTGTTGTTTTTGTTTCCAATTTACTTTTTCCCATCGACTGAATGTTGTAAAACCATTTTAAAATTGAATACTAAAATACCAAAACTCCAGTTGATGAGATGGAAAATAGTGAATAGAAATATAAAAAGTTTAATTGTATTATTACATTTTTTAGTAGATATACAAAAAAGTTTAATCAGATAAATATTTTTTTTAGTCTTGTAAAGTTTTCTCTATATTGTATAAATTGGTGTGAAAAAATTTGGACAAGGTTGTTCAAGAGTACGCAGGGTGCAAGACACGCAAGGCTGCACCGCCAATTATTCAAAATCTATGTCATTATTAATAATTTAATTTGCCGTTTTGTTTATTTATATCTTTAGACGAATTTTAACATAACAATTTCAGTTTTTGAAGATTTTATTTAAGGAATTCGTTTTCAAGTGTATTTGAAAAAATTTTTTGGTTCAAGGAATTGTTTGTTTTTATGAAATTTGATATTTGAGGCTTAGCGTTTTTAATTTCTTTCACATTTTACCTGAGAGATTAATATTTATTGACTTTGTAAGATTGAAATCGGCAAAAATAGTTGTACGTGAAATTTATCGCACTTTTTGTTTCTCTTTCTATAAGTCATGCAAGAGTACGCAGAACCAAATTGTACAAGAATGCGCAATATTACACAGTATTACAATTTTTTTTAAACCATATAATTTTCATTTACTTTATTTACTTTTTTTAATATTTAAACATTTTTAATGTTTAATGTTGAGATATTACAAAACTGACCGAAAAATTGTAGATTCATGTACTATAAACTTAAAATTGCGTACTCTTGTATTTCGTGGATACTCGTGAAAGCTATAGTCGTGCAGGAGTACGAATTTAATCACTCTTGAATTTTTAGAAGAATAACAAACATTTATTTCTAAATTTTTACTTTTGTTAAAACAGAATGTTCAACGAACCAAGCAAATTTTATTTCATCTATGTATGTCTCTAATTTTTTTGAAAATGTCGTTTAAATGAACAAGTGCGTCTTTTTGGCCGATCCTACCCTAAAGTTCTCCGGTGTGCAAGTTGACAAAAACATATTGTTATAACCGCTGGAATAATTTAATTGCGCTATAATTATTTGTTTATCTAATTATTTTCATCTTTGTGTATTTGTAATCTTTGGATCGTAAAAAAGTATATCGTAAAAATCTGCCGTTCAGGCTATATGTATATCATGCGTATATACAAAAAGAAGTCAGGTTACCGGAGAGGTTTGAAGCGAAGTCGTAAATGTGATTTATGTAGTTACTCGGATTAGTTTAATGTTTTCATTACTGTTGGCATTCAAATAACGTTCAACAAGGTTTGCGTTTGAAGCAGTGGTGTTCATCTATCGGAAATCTTGAACCTACTTAATAACGGACACTTGACAATCGTTGGAAGCTACAACGCTGGCGTTGGGAATATAGAGATCTTTGTAGTTATAGTGAGGTGTTGGTAGTTGAGCGTTCAAAGGTTACTACAATATGTTCATGAATTTCAATAAAATAATCTCAATCAAATAAGAATTTTGTAATGTTTATGCGACATTAGTGTTTGCTGACATTAGCGTTCGGACGTTACTGTTTGTTAATTCCGAGCTGCGGTAATGTTTTCGGGTTACATTTTTTAAAAATAAGCTAATTAAATTTCATTGTTAACGTCACTAATACCTTTTTGTGACTGTAAAGCTCAAGCCAACGGCACGACTCCGGCTTATCGCTCACATCGAACAAGGTGACGGTTCTGTTGCATGAGCCTTCTCGCGGTGGAATCGATTGGACCGACTGCCAGGAAATCCTACAGTCGGCCCAACAAACCGTTTCAACTTCCTCTCTCTGCCTGGATGTCCACACTGGCTAGTTGGCTCAGTTGCCTTTTTCTAAGGGTCGGAATAGAGTCATATCTAAGCCCCAAAACCTGGGTTTGTCTCGCCTCCAACAAGAAAATCAACAAGACTCAATTCTCTGCCCGTCGCAGAACCTACCTACTGCAAATGGTTTCATGTAGAAAACTGTGCGACAAACATCTACGGTTATTAACTCTGTAATACTGCCCTCACCCTCCACAATTTCGAGTTTTTCGGTGCCGGAGGCAGCTCCTCAGCAGCCATCAACCACAAGAAACATTTCAAATCTGCCTACCATAAACAACAAATCATCAACCAAATATACCGGACGGACCAGCATCCTATAATTGAACTGCAACGGTATCAAAAACAAACAAGAAGAAATCGCACAACATTTAATAGAACATCGCAGCAATTCAAGAATCTAAATTAACATAAAGCTCAAAAAATCCATTTTTCAGGGACTACTAGGTGTATTGCAGACTGTGGGAGCGAACGATTGGGTGGTCTACTCATGCTCATACATCAACAGCATTTTTTAAACGATCAAGCTACTACCCGACCAGGCAACAACAAAGAGCCAATCATCACAATCAGAGCCAATGACACAGATAACAACACATTTACATTCCTTCTCAATCCGTCTGCACCCCTTACTTCACAGCTTCAATACTACAATTTTTGGCCATCCCGAACTTCTTTCTGCTGGGAAATGTGAATGTCCACGACGAATTCTGGCACTCTTTGGAGGAACATCAACACCAGACATCTCTTTCGTATCAGATACCCTGATTATCGGTATGGATTGGTCAACAATGACCGCTCTCTCATCAGACCACCTTCCGATCCACATCACACTGCAAACAACTTTCCATCATACTAAAACCCCAAAAATCAAATTCATAAATTATGCCAAGTCGTCTTCCCTACCAGCCCATCAACAGCTGAGAAGATATTTTGCCACGTTTTGGAGTAGCCAGTGACCACAACATTCCTCCAGTCTATCCTCTACTCTTGGTCTCTCGAAAGAAATCACAGAACTAATTAAATATAGCTATATTCATTGACTTATAATTCAAGTATTGATTTGTTAAGTCTTTCATTAGAAAATTTTTTGCGTTTAATTCGAATTTTTGTATTTAGATATGTTGTATGTTTATGTTAGAAAACAATACAAATTTTTGTTTGCTCTGTTTTATTGCAAAAATACTAAATATTTTAAATTGTAAAAAATTTATGAACATCTTTTGACTTTAGAAAATTATAATCAGAAATCATAAGTCAATCTGTTGGTATTAAATCGCTTATTTATAATAAAATAATTTTTGTTGCTGTTTTACTGCAAAGTACTACGAGTCAATTGAAAAATTAGTTATCATTTATGATGTATTTTAACTTTAGAAGTTATTTGTTAAGCATTAAAATTACATAAAAATTTTACAATGTACAAAATTTTAAAACTTGAATTTCAAAATTTTAATTCACGTTAATTCGCCGCGAATTAACATCCATTTTCTTGAATCTACATGGACTCAAATCAACCGACCCGTACAACTTTTAGTCTCGAAAATCACGTTTTGGTAGATTGGATAAGTACAAAATCTATTCTCAGTGAGCCTATACCTACCAAAATGAACGATCATGCTAAATATCAATTCAGACGAATGCTTGGTTTTGGGAATTGGGATGAGTCAAGAGTCAATTAGTGATTAATTGTTTAAATAAATAAATAAAAATATTAAATATATATATATTATTTTTATATTAATTAAAAATCAGGGCAAGTATCATAACAGTTTCAGGCAAATACTGGGTTGGTGAATTGTCTAAAGTTATCATTGACAACAGCACAGCACAACTCAAATCTACAGAGGTTCCCTGTTTTAAATTCATTCATCCTCTACTATGTTAAATTTATTCTTTTTTTGCTCACAATTGTTTGAATTAATAAAAGTATGTTCACAGTTTTTACTGCATTTGTTCACAATCCGATTCTGTTCTATTTTAATATTTGCTCTATTAATTAATTAATTAATTTATTCAATATATTTAAACTATATATAAATTTATTGTATGATCCATTTTGTAATGATAACCTTATGAATAATCATCGTTCAGGTTCCTCACACTTCTGTAAATCAATTCAATGCTGAACAGTGTGGTAAAACAAAAGGTTTGTTTTTTGTCAAATGCGTTGGGTCGGAGTCATAAAAATTTGTCCGGCTCCGACTTTTTGGTTGAAAATTTTCCGACTCAAATTTCGTTGAAAAATTTCTAACTCCTGCTCCTGACTCTTACCCCCGACTTCGGGCCAGACTTCCAGGAAATTTTTTCAAATTTTGTTTTACAATTTCATTTACTATTATTTTACAATTATTATCCAAAGATATCTTAAGTTTATTGTTTATTAGCACAGAATAGCTTTTTGCCAAACTGTTACAGAAAAAAATCGAAAATGCAAACTTAAAAACTTCAATGTACCTAAGATTGAACAAAATTAAATGGCAAACGCGTACGTAGGTACTCACAATAAAATAAAGTTAAATTCTTAACTAAATTTACATAAAGCTAATGCTAAAACAAAAAAAGAATGATTTTAAATGACCAAAAAGCGGAAAGATTTATGATTGAACTCGAATGAAGTTAGAAATGAAATTATAAATAACAAACAGTTCTAAACAATAAACAATGTTTTAAACAATAAACAATGAATGTTTGCCTGCAATGAAACTTATCACCGAAAACCTCAACTGCCGATTTGAGGCAACTAGAAGACTGCATTTACGGATGCTAAGAGAATCTCAATCAGTCGTCGACTACCATATTCGCAAAGTAGAATTTAGGGCAGTCTTTGTGACAAGCTTCTGTAGTTAACTTGAAATTGTTTCCTTTTTGTACGATGTTGTTTGGAGACAGAAACGTTGAAACTGAAACCTTTTCATGAATTATTCTGTATAATAGAAATAAATCGGCCCTTGATTTCTGTAGCAATCCGAGTTTTTTCATTTGGTTGAAAGGAAGTCTTCTGCATGAAGTTACTTTTCGAGTTGCTTTTCTTTTTATTTTTTATAGTTCATCTATTAAGCCTACTCTATAAGGATTTTACATTTAGACTCCTTACTCTAGTTTCGACCTCACCAATGATTTGAACAAGATTACGAAGGTTTCATCTGAAACGCCCTTAAAAATTCTGGCAATAACACCTGGCATAGAGTTAGCTTTATGAAATACTTTTAACCCTGCGTTTACCAACATTTTTTTATAGCGCTGATTACCAATGTGGGTCCGTTGGACCCACATATCGACATGTCATTAATTTAAACTAAAATTTAATTTTGACTCATTTTTATGTTGTGTTTCTAAATATAGCAATCTCCAAATAAGCAAAATATACAAAAACAAGAAATTTTTCTGAACAGTTAAAAAATAAATGTTTGATAAACAATGTAGTCACTTAAAAATCATAGATTAAATGTTGCAGTTGTTACAAATTACAACGGAATGCTCACAACAAATGTTTTTTTTGCATCTTGCACATAATGATTTAGTTTTTCTGTCTTTTTTATAACTACACAACACACATCGTTTTTTTCAACCAACCAACTGTTCATCAATAGTTACTGTATGACTCAACTTGTAAGGATCTTTTAAAGTAGAATTCCATGATTCAAATAAATCTCTTATTGGCTCTAATTTGTCTGGTGATCTATGTTTTCTGCGTGATGCAGCATCATCAAATCTCAGAACTCTTAAAATTTTATGAAATCTGGTTCTTGATATTATTTTATTGAATAAAGGTCTGCCATCACTTCCGCTCCATAACTGACTAACTGGTTCATTCTTAGATTTATATACACCAACTAATATGAGAACTCCAATAAACTTTTTTAGTTCATTGACACATAACTTCTTATAACCATCTTTCAGCACCAGTTGTCCTTCTTGATTTGTGAAATGACATATTTGTTCCAACAAACTAGATCTGAAATAAATCAAAAAAGAAGAAGATATTGAATCAACGTTATTTTTTGCATAATTGCTGAATCCTGGACTTCCTTTTACAATATTGAAACTTTTGGCACGACCTTGTGTATTTGTTTCTGGTGTACTATGCCACACAATTTCTTTATTTTTTGATAAATACGTTTCCTCATGCGTAATAGTATTAGCCATCAAATCAGATTTCACGTCATTTTCGCTTTCACTAGTACTAACTTCGTTTTCTTCAACACAATCGATTTCATTATCATCATCTGATGCAACATAATCTTCCTCACTTTCTTCTAAAATCATTTCGCAAGCTTTACTTAGAGAAATCTTTGATTTTGACATTATAAGGAACAAAAACACAATTAATTCAAATAAAAGTATATTTATTAAATGGCTACTACCATGGAAACAACAATAAAAGTGAATCTAAATAATAAATACTTTTTAAAAATGAATGTGGGTCCAACAGACCCTGTCGGTAAGTGGTGCTTGAATTTTTATAGCGTAATTACTAATGCCAAAAAATTTATAAATTTGCATTTTTTTTTTGACAAAATAAGTATTTAAAAAAAGTCAGAATTTTTGGAAATTTTTACAAATTTTTTTGTCTATCTACATCACATCAAACATCGAGGATGGGTCCAATGGACCCAGCTGGTAGTTCTAGGGTTAATACGTAGTTTCTTAACGTTAACCTTTTGTCGACAACAACTCCAAGTCTGATACCTTTTCAACCTCAATCTCTGGCAAATGAAACGGCGATTCATTACCATCTAGACAGTTTATCAAAACCTGTTCTCAACTGCTTGGATTATTTTGTGTTTATTTTCAGTTTTAATTCGTAGAATCAGTTGACTAATTTTCCAATATTTTGCAAAAAACTGTTTTTATTATTCATCATTCTCTTGAATCATCAGTAAAAAGCAATATGTTATCACACAGAAGAAATTTCATTAATTTAAATTAAAAACAGCAATGAACTCATTCCTGTGGAATGTCACTTAAACTCGTATGATACACAAAAATCAAATTTTTGTGTTTATAGTTTTGTATATGAAAACTATTAACTATGACATTTTGAATGCAAGGTACGTTAGTCGCAATATATAAATGTAAATTTTAGCTTTCGGTCTATTGACGTTGGTTTTTTTAATCCTCTAATTGTAAAATTTGGTTCTTGTGTTTTCTGTTTTTATGGAAAGATAAAAACGTTTCAGCGCCAAAACTTGAAAAATTGATAATAAAATACTAAATTAATGATAAAAAATGTAAAATTGATTGCAATATGCAAAAAATCAACAGCATTAACTCCTCATATATGCACTCATTTAAAAATAAATAGTGGTAAGTGGTGAGCGTTTTGCCATTGTTTCATAGGATTTGACGTGATCTGGCACGAATGATTGTGAGAATCTTTAGAAATATGGGCATATTGAAAAACTGGTTTAAGCGTTAAGCATGTTTTAAAAGTGTCAAAAGAAACCGTAGAAATTGATGCAGAGTTAGATAAAAACAGATATTGGAAACAAATCTAAGGATTATTTAGAAACGAATAATTGGTAACGAATTTTCACCTAAATTAAAGATGAATTTTTTATTAAATATGAATAAACAGAACTGATAAAATAAATCTGCCACAAAAATCTGCTATTCCCATGTGACGTGTTATTAAAATAAAAATTTATGATGTTTAAGTAATTTCATATTTCATATTATTGAGTAATTCCATAATAAATTTTTGATAGGTTGTTATAGAAATCCCGTCGGTTGTGAAATTAACAACTGCGACACTATCATCATGTGGACGGATTACAATGACCATGTGGATTTTCAAATGTCTGGTGATACCGAAGGGTTTGTTTCTGTTGCGTTATCTGAAGACACAAAATTGGTATTTTTTCCATTATTTTAAAATATTCGAATGCCGTTGATTTCTATTTCTGGTATAGTTGAGCAGTTACGTACACACACGCACGCGCACGCTTACACACATACGCATCATATGTGTGTGTGTGACAAAATTCAGATGAATAGTTTATATAGCGCTTAACATCAACTTATATTGGTGACATTTTTTTGTCAAATGCAGAACTGCTTGCGTGTCATTCTATACTTATAATTAAATTTTATGGCAACAAAGGTGTGGATGGCCACGCCACACTACTCATAAATTTTATGTATGCACGTGCCAACACCGCGTATGACGTATGACAGTCTTTGAGTCTCGGACAGACAGTATTCGAACTAGACCATTGCGTGATATCAGCGCGAAACATGGCACTTTTACCAACTGAGCTAACTGGCCGACCATATTTTGTTTACACAGACATACTAATCTTTGCATGACAAAAATATTCAACGCCTTATTCAGTGTCTAACATCGTCGTCTGACTATATCGAAATTTATCTACCGATTCGAAGCTCTGAATGTTGAAATTTACCTCTTTCAGTAAAAACATAAAAATTTTAATTTAGACTATCAATCCATCTTTTAACCTATTAATTAAAATTGTGGATATTTTACACAATAGATGTAATTTTCAACGCACTAACAATAAAGTAGAAGATTTCGGTAGCTATTTTGGCGCCACTTTTTCATATAAGTAGCAATAATGGTCGCGGTACTATTTTTCACTGGACTATCCCCACGGGATGATTGCATTACGTTTTCCATCCGTATTAGCTATGTCATAAGGCTATTTGGCTATTGGATTAAACACCAGTTATTTTCATATTATTTCTTGCTCTCTCTTTATTGCGTACTCTCTCTAATTGCGTACTGTTTTGATGATGATATCTGTTCAACATTCGCTGCTTTGAAGCAAATGTAAAGTATCAGTGCACTCTCGATATTTTGCCAAATGCATGAAGAAAGTTCCCCGTTCTAAAGTAGCAAAATCTCTATGAAATAAAGTTTCAAGAAAGACTTTAATACTAATTTTATAACGCAACTAGTGATTTTGAACAAAAAAATTTTCAAGCTAATGAATTTTTGTGACTATTTACTATGAAGTTCTGGGATTGTGTAGTACGGAATTGATATATGATGTGAAAAAAACGAATTAACTTCTTGCAGAACCAAACCGTTGATATTGTTATATCAGCCGGAATAGTGAAATTGTGCTATAATTATTGGTATCTTGATTATTTGTTATTTTTGCTAGATTTGTAATCTTTGAATTGTAATAATCTTCTGTATATAAGGTTTATAGCAAGGTTAATAGCGAGGTTGTTGTAGTTGTGATTTTTATGGTTACGATATGAATTATTTGCGATCGTGTGTGTTTCTTGGATTAGTGAATAGTATAGTGTTTCTATAACTGCTGACATTTAAATAAACGCTTAAACAAGTTAGTGTTTGAAACAGCTTTGTTTATCTATCAGAAATCTTGACCACGACGGCTGCCTATGGCTCAAGGAACCGAAGCAAAGAAAAAACGCCCGAAAAGAAATAACGCAGGTTTCAAGAGCTAAAATCTAGTGAGGTTGTACAACCTACAGAAAAAGGAGATGTCCGTCGAACTTCCAAGGAGTTGAAATGATTGGTACAAAATCATTAACAGGATAAGTGACGTGATCTACAGGATTCAAGATCACGAAAGACAACGGACAAAGAAGAAAGTCGTCTATTTAAATAGATTATCACCTATTTATCGGAATATAGAGGTAATGCCTACGTTAGGGACTAACAGACTAAGGTGAGGGCAATGTTATATCCGTCGGAATGGTGAAATTGCGCTATATAATTAACTATTAGTATCTTGATTATTGGTTATCTTAGCTGTATCTGTAATTTTTGGATTGTAAGAATCTCTTGTATATAAGAGGGTGTGAATAGCGAGGTTGTTGTAGTTTTTATTTGTGTGTTTATGAGATTATTGGCTTTACTCGACCTCAGTTCAGCGTTTGATGCAGTTGATCATGATGTGCTGTTAAAGAGATTAATGGTTACTTTTGGTATTGCTGGGGTGGCTCTGGATTGGTTTGCCTCGTTTTTGATGTCAGATGAAGTGGTGGGTCCGAGTCTATTTTTGATGTATGTTTCAGATCTTCCTGGTGTGGTAAATGAACATGGTTTTGGGGTTCACATGTATGCTGATGATCTCCAGATTTATTCTACTGGATTAGCAAAAGATGCTGGGATAATTTCAGATGTGATGAGGACCTCTGAATGATTGGTTGATTCTGAACCGTTTGAAGTTAATTCCTGGTAAAACAGAGTTAATTTGGTTTAGGTCTGGAAACGTTATAGCCGAAATCAGTAGCACAACATTTAATGTTCTTGGTAACCTGTTGCACGCAGTTAAGATGGTCAAAAACCTAGGAATACTATTCTTCATTTTATTGGCTATGTTACCACATTCAGTGAAACTTGGTACAGCTTGTTTTTTACAGCTTCGTAAATTAAATCATACTAAAAAATGTATCCCAGCTGATATTTTCACAAATCTTGTAGTATCATTTGTGATGTCGAGGTTAGATTATTGTAACTCGTTGATGTTTTGGGCTGGGTTGGTGTAGCTAAGAAAGTTCAACGCATTCAAAACACTAATGTAAGACTGGTTGTTGACCTCGGTAGATGTGATCACGTAACTATGGTTGGAGAATCTTTATTGGTTACCAGTGCGCGAAAGAACCTCTTACAAGATAGCAGTTATTGCTCACTGTTGTATTCATTGTGGTGAACCAGAATACTTGAAGGAAGTTTATTGTAAAAAATCTGAGCTGGACATGGGACGTGCTCTGCGATTGATCTCCATTGAATTGATGATAGTCAACAAAACTAAGAGGAAGCTGGTTGATAGATGTATGCAAGTTGTTTTGCCAAAAATTTGGAACGATTTATCACTACGTCTGAAACAAATTGTTCCAGTAAAAAAATTCAAGCAGGAAATAATGATGGTAATAATATAGTTACGATCTGAATTATTGGCGAATATTAATGAATAATTTATTGTTTCTATTACTATCTGTGATACGTCCGGTGTTGTTATATAGTGCAGAAACATGGCCAATGACAACCAAACTGGAACAACAACTTCAACGAACCGACATGAAAATGCTCCGATGGATGCAACGAATTAGTCTGAAGGACCACATCAAATCTACCGAAATCCTGTGTCGTGCTGGTTTAGATGATATAAAGGACGAATGCCGGCAACACCGTCTGCGGTGGTTTGGTCATGTCAAACGAAGTGGAAACAGTGCCATAACTTCTCTTGCAGATGTTGAAGTACCTGGCACCCATCCCAAAGGCCGTCCAAAGAAGTCCTGGTCGCAAACAATCGAGCAAGACATGAAAGCTCTAAATTTAAATGAAATGGATACAACTGATCGTCTAATTTGGCGTAAAAAGTTGATGGCAAAGAAAACGTCCTACCTCGGGTCTCTGGACGCAAAACGAAGATTGATTGATTGATATTGTTTCTATTACTGTTGGCATTCGAATAAACTTTTAAACAAGTTTGCATTTGAAGCAGTTTTGTTCATCTTTCAGAAATTTTGAACCTACAGAATAACGTTAACTTGACGGTAGTGCAAGCTACAACTGGTGCCGGAAATAGAGATCTTTGAAGTTACATCAAAGTGGTGACGATTGTCCGACGTTTACAACAGTATTAAGAAAACTTACATGCTATAAGTCATATCAATATGTGAGGAAATATGTATTTTTGACACTAACAAACAAGACCCATGTTGTGCGATTTTCACTTTAACCACTTTAGCAACATGATGTTAAAAGAGCGAAGTCGTTCACTAATATTGGCATCTTATGTAGGCTGTGAAATAGAGACGGAACATTTGTTCGTCTGTTGTTTATTGTCATGTTTTAAAGTTTGGAAGCTTGTTCAACACAAATAGAAATTATTTTTAAATGGTGAAAATTTATTTGGAAGAAATATAATATGAAAAACACATCAAAAATTCCGTGCAACAGGATTTTGCATAGAATTGATGTATCTGAATCTGACCTGTTTATTGATGAGCTTAACCGTTATTGTTACTTCTCTAACTTTATTCAAAAATTTTCAGCTCTTTCTCTAAGCATTTTTAATAACAAATGATCGAAATTGTATAGTTTCAATTTTTATCAAATATATTTTGATTTGTTTTTTCAAATGTAAACAAACTTAAATGTCAAATATATCTTGATTTGAATAGTTAAATAACTGTTTGTTTTCGGTTTTTTTGAAATTAACTTTGAAAACATATAATTTAATTTTATTTGATTGGCACAAATATTAATATTTCAGGGTAATGATGAAGTTTTTGAATGTATATGGAAGGAGCTTTCAAAGCAAGTTGAGGTAAAACACTACAGACTTCGAGAAGAGGCTGGTAAACCACCAACTGAGAATTTAAGACCAGTAAGTTGGTTGTATAATAGTATTGCTCATCAATTTTAGTCGTTTTTTTGTTTAAGTAATATTTTAAATAATGTTGTTGTTGTAATTTTGTATTTTAGTTTTTTGTGAAAGATGCCAATGGCTGGATGGATAACCGAAGGATTTATTGCTCATTCAGATTTGACAAGGATGCGCAAAGTATGGGATATTTTTTATATTTTTTTTATCTTTAATATTGGTATTTTCTAATTTTTGAGTTTCTAACTCATAATAGTTCTAAAATAGTGCGGCATCAACTGTCTTAAATGCACTTTACACGATCTTTTATGTTTATTTTGAACAGTTTAACTTTTCTTTTCATTTGTAATTAATAGTTCTTTGTTTTATTTTATTGTTATTTATTGACTTTTAAAACTAACAGAAAAAATTGGAAGAATTGTATCAGATAAAAGATATTTGCTGCTTAACAAGGGAAGAGTTGATAAAGATGGTTGGTTAATTTTAAAAACTTGGTTGTAATAAAAATTTTACTATGCAATTCACTTTTTGTTGCATTTATGTGATGATTTAACAACATCTCTTTTCATTAAAATTATTTTTTTTATCATTATTATTTTATTAAACAACGATGATTTGATCAATTTTTACATGTTTCATTTCATTAAACGTTATTATTTTTGACAGGCACAAAAATCCAGCACAGCCAGGAATTAAACAAATATCCACATGTTTCTCCAGAAATGGTCAAATCATCTGACAGAGTGGATTTGTTTGATACCATGCGATATCCACTTGCCAAAGCCCATGGTGGGTTAAAAAGAAGTTTTATTTTTATTTGTTATATACTTGCCAAAATTTATATGTAAGTTAGAACTTATTCACGAAGTAAATAAATTGCTGTAATCAGATCGATTGGGTTAAAATATAAAAGTTATAATTTACAAATTCTAATTAACTATCAGTAGCATATATTAATGATTGGTCGGCGAGTTAGTTCAGTCGGTAGAAGTGCCTTGTTTTGAATACTGTCGGTCCGAAACTCAAAGACTATTATACGCCATATGCGTATGATGCGGTGCTAACGCGTCCATACATAATGTGTATGTACGTCGTGTGGTGGGAATAGTACAGTCTTTGTGGCGCGAAGTTCAGTCGGTAGAAGTGCCATGTTTTGAATACTGTCGGTCCGAAACTCAAAGACTATTATACACCATATGCGTATGATGCGGTGCTAGCGCGTCCATACATAATGTGTATGTACGTCATTTGGTGGGAATAGTACAGTCTTTGTGGCGCGAAGATTTAAATACAGGGATGATATGTTAACGGTTTTGCGTATGTCAGAGCTGCATAATAAAGAAAAAAAAATTATGACATATTCGCGGAAATAAATTTCTAACAGATTGGTTACATTTACTTTTTTTGTATAAAGGTGTCTAAAAAAGGTTTGTTTGAATATTTTAAAGGGGTTCTGAAATGTTAAAATGATAAAAACCTTTTTCACTTATCAGGTTGCTTGATGGTAATAGCCTGGATGGTAAGTGCATTAACGGGACTACTATTGTCTAAATACTACCGTCCAATGTGGCCAAATACCAAGTGGTGTGGTAGAAGAGTTTGGTACAGTGTTAGTTGTCTAATGATATTTGCGTTTATAATTTTACATTGAATAAATACAGTTTCGTAATGTAATGATTTGATGACATAGTCATAAAGAAACCTATATAATCAACTTAAGCATTGATTTTGGGACCAATTGTATTGTATCGTTGCCTATTTCGCGTTTATCAACATCTTTGTAAGTAACTCGACCCTACGCATTTGTTGTATTTATTGAAATTTTCTGTCATTTTAGGCTGCATGTTTGACATCATCAGAACCTAGAAATTACGAGTTTAGAATTACGAAATAAATCAAGGAAATAATGAAACTAACGAAATTTGAATAAAATAAATGCCGTAAAAATTTAGATTAAAAATTAAGAATTATTACTTTGTAATACTAATAAAATAAAATAAATAATTAAACGTTAAATTTGATATAAATGGATAAAATGTAACAAATAAAATGAAACGAATTGAATGGAGAAATAAAATTAGATGTTTATCTGAACATGGAAATGTAAATAATACATGTGTGAAGTGAAGTGAAGCGATGGAATGTTATCAGTGTAAATAAATGTATGTATTATATGATGAATTTGAGTACCACAATATTAGAACAATACAAGTGTACGTATGAAAATATGGAAATAGCATAAAATATGGAAAAAATGAAAAAAAAATGAATGAGTAATAAATATTAAATAATGTAGCAAGTGACGTGACAACATTGGATTTACGACGCGAAGAGGAATTGCGTGTTGACCCGTTGGGAGTCGTCGAATGTTCAACGACATACATATCGTTGCGATACCGCGGCATGCTGTTGATCGAGTACAACGGGGACCATCGGCGTCAAATATTTACAAAAATTTAATCCAAACTCTCAATGAAAAGCAGCAAAAACATCTGATGCCATTGTTTTACAGAAACACGGTAATTACAAAGTGGATGTCATCACTCAAACGAATCGTTCGATCCAATATTTCGGTCTGTGACAACAACCGACTAAAATTAAAACCATCTACTACAATACAAATCGTGCATCAAATCTCGTTATAAAAAAACAGTAACAACCAATCATTATCTACTCTTGAGAGAACAAACGTCGTGTACCGTTTCACGTTAAATACCTGTGCTACTCTCTCGCGTAGACTCACTTCACATGTACATGATGGCGGCATAAAAGAACATGTAAATTATATTTTCTATAATTATCTATGCTTAAGTATTTCTTGAATTTCTAAACTTTGCTTATAGCGTGACTTTCACGATCCTATATAAATTTTCAACACGTGATCAGTTTCATTATTGTGTGTTAATAGCTTGGTATTTGTATCAGGAATTTAATTTTTTTTATTTTAGGTTCTTGAAAGCAAACTTATAAATTAAATTCCAAGAAAATGGACATCATCCATCTTGGATGCAAAGCTATTAAAGACGCAATAAAATACTGGCAATAACATTTGATTGCTCGTGAATTTGTTATTTGTAGTGACCAATAACCTCTAGAGAATCTAAAAACTAAAAGTAGAACAGGTTAAATATTGGGCGATTTGGTGGCACTATTTATCTCAATTCAACTTCAAAATTGTTTATAAGAAAGGAAAAGAAAATATAATGGCTGGTTTACTTTCTCGATTACCAGGTATGGGGATATTTTGAAAATGATGATGCAGTCCAAATTGTCAACTTAATTGAAAGACCTGAAATTCTTCAAGATCAAAAGGATAACATGGCTGAATTAAAGATTGCCCAAAAGACTGAACAATGCCATGGTATTATTTACAAAAAATTGAAGGACAAATCGAGGATATCTGTTTCTGATAAATTTGGTTTAAGAATAATAAAAAAGGTACGTGAATATTATGGACATAATGGAGCTGGAAAATTGAAAGAAAAAATAAGACAATTCTATTATTTCAAAAACTTTTATCAATTAATTGAAGAATTTTGTAAAAGTTGCACTTATATGTTTAGAAAACAAAACCAGAAAAAATAGAATCATAGGATTAATTTCAAAATTAGGACCCGCAACAGAACCATTTCAAATTATGTCCATTGATACAGTTGGTGGTTTTGCTGGTAATAGATCACCAAAGAGATATATGCATATTTTAGTGGACCATTTTAGTAGATATGCTTGGATCTACACCACAAGAAGTCAATGTGCAACAGATTTCATAAAGTTAATTGACCTGATTGCTAAGAAAAATAAGATTAAAGTACTTTTAGCCGATCGGTACACTGGAATTAATTGTACAAAACTCAAGCTGTACCTCAACAAGCTGTATCTCAATATTCAAGTGGTTTTTGCATTTGTAGATTGCCCTCAATGAAATGGACTAAATGAAAGACTAAACCAAACACTTAATAAACAGAATAAGATGTAAACTTAACAGTGGAGCAAAACAAGCATGATCTGTCATTGCCATAGAATACAATCGTACAATTCCTAGTTTCACAAGATTCGAACCGGAATACTTATTATATGGCATAAAGTCAACTATAATCCCAGATGACTTACCGGAAAGCGATTTAGTTGCAGATAGAATACAGGCCTGTAAGAATTCGATGCAAAATTTTGAAATAAACAAGAAGAGAGTTGACAAAATTCGTAAAGAATACTAATTTAAAGTGGGCGATCAGAATGGGAGTAAACTCAATTGAAGTAAAATGGGCAAAATAAGAGTTGGCCCTTTTAAAATTCTTAGAAAGATGTCACCGTCGATTTTCGAAGTAGACTGTGGAAAGAAGAAGAAGAAAGAATCAAACTTTTTTTACATTAATAAATGGTTACTTTATGTACCTCAAAAAGTGATTTGAAGGGGGAGATGTAAACTATATTTTATTTAATTATCAATGCTTAAGTATTCCCTGAATTTCTATTCTTTGCTTATAGCGGGACTTTAACGATCTTATTTAAATTTTTAACACGTGGCCAGTTTTATTATTGTGTGTTAATAGTATGGTCTTTGTACTTGGAATTTAATTCAACTTTCGGTTCAGCATGCTGTGGGACCACAATGATACGATTATCGTTCAACATTCGACGACTTCCAACCGGTCAACACACGGTATATATAGCGACCAGAATTTATTAACTAAGGGACGTACCATATTATGACAGATTAAGTATAATTGGTTTATAAACCTTAGAAAAAAAAAAATCGGAGGTGAACTTTTTCAAATATATAAAATAGCATAATGAACCGATATTTATATTTGATTTAATAACAAGATGACATTAAACAATTCAGAAATAAAGAAAACGTAGAATAAAGTTTTTCACAAATCGTGGTCAATAATTAGAATAAATTACCTCAAGAAGCTAATTATTAATAATAATTAATGCAAAAGATGTGAACACTATCTATCGGGTTGTTCGGAAAGTAATTTCGTTTTTTAGTGGTGAAAATAAAAGGCGATCTTCGTATAATGAATAAATATTTAATAAAATTATATATTACCCATTCTGATCAAACACCTTTTGCCATCTTTCTGGTAGTAGCATGATTCCGCGCTTATAAAATTTTTGGTCTTGGCTGGCAAAAAACTGATCCCGGTGTTTTTTGACGTGTACATTTGAGGTAAAGGTTATACCGTTCAAAATATTTTGCAGTGACCGGAACGAATAATAATCCAAAGGGACCAGGTCTGGAGAATATGGTAGGTGCGGTAGTACATCCCATCTAAGTTGTAAAAGCTTTTGGCGAGGAACCAAACTTGTATGAGGTGTCGCATTATCTTGGTGGAACACTACACCTTTTTTGTTGATTAATTCTGGCCTTTTCTGTTAAAGTGCGTCATTCAGTTTGTCCAGCTGACGACAGTAGACTTCCGAATTAATTGTTGCGTTATCTGGTAAAAGCTCAAAGGGGTGACTCCTTTAAAATCCCATCAAATAGACAGCATCACCTTTTTTTGATGGATATCGGCCTTTGAAATGTTTTAAGCCGACTCATCCTTTCTGCTCCATGATCTCTTGCATTTGACATTGTTATTTACCACTCATTTTTTGTCCCCAGTAATGATGCGCTTCAAAAATTGATCATTTTCGTGACGATTAGGGAGTGAAGCACAGACGTCAACGCTACGACACCAATTTCTCTCCGTAAGGACATGAGGAACCTATATATCGAGATTAAACCCAGGCCTTTCAGTTAGTCATAAACAGTTGAATTCAATAAATTTAACCTCTCACCGATCTCACATGTTGTTATTCGCCGGTTTGCTTCAATTAATGTCTTTATCAGCTTCAACCGGCCTTCTAGAACGAGATGCATCTTCAACATAAATTTGCCGGATCGAAATTTTACAAACCAGTTCTGGCACTGGCATATTGTCAACACATCTTCTCCATACACATCGGTTAGTTTCTTTCTGGCTTGAATATCATTTTTACCTTTTCTATAGTAAAAAAGTAAAGTAAAATGCTGCTTATTGCTCTTCATGTTTTAATACCAAAAACTACTGTGTAAAACCAATTGAACTTCACACACAAGCCTTGCTAGATCAGAACATATAATGACAATGCGGCTTTAGTGTGAAGTTAGCTGTGAAAAAATACAATTAAATCCTCTGTCGGGAAAAATGAAATTACTTTCCGAAAAATACAATATTTAGACTCCTGGCGAATCATGTGGCAGACCTGGTTGTCGAACTGTCAAACCATAAGTCTAAACAAATGCCTCGGAGAATCAAAACGTGGAAGCTGAAAAGCAATATTCATCGAGAAAAATTTCAACAGATTGTTGCAACACAGACCACCAATCGCAAGCCAGTACAGATAGGAGTACATACAAAACTGTTTTGATAAACGCTGCAACTACAGTTTGTGGGAAAACTGGTACAAAACGTCAGCATGAACGGGACACTTGGTGGTGGAATGACAGTGTACAAAATGCAATAGCTGAAAAGAAAGCTGTATAGCAATGGCAAAAATCAAAGTCTGTTGATGACCATAAAATTTTCCGTGAGAAGAATAACTATGCAAGACGTCAAGTCGCACTGGCTCGAACAGATCAGTGCAGAGAGTGGCTCACTAAAAGCAAAGTTGAACAAATGAAATCTCTGTATCGTATAGCAAAACAAGCAAAGCGTACGAAAAAAGACATAGTTGGTGCCTCATGTATCAAAAACTACAAAAATGGGATGGTTCTTGAACAAGATGAGATCAAGCTACGTCTGTTATATGAAACAAATCCCATCAATGTCAACTTTGACGCTCCACACTATCACACATTTTTGTAGACCTTGAAAAACCATTTCATCGAGTTCCTCGTGAAGCAATCATGTGGAGTCTACGTCT